GGACTTAATTGTCCATATATTGGGTCAGCTAGGTGAAGACTACACGCATATTGCTTCTTCCTTTAAAATTCGTGACACACCCATCAAATTCCCTGATCTCTTTGACAAACTACTTGACCATGAGCAAACCCTAAAAGAAACCCACGCCTCATCAGTCATAGCCACAGTCAACAACACGCAAAAATACTCCAATCGCTATCCACCAAAATCAAACTATGATAATCGAAACCAACATAGGTTCAACAACAACAACAATTCAGGCACCAGAACATCTCGCCCCCCCCCCCCTGGACTTTTAATGGAGGTAACAACTACCAAATAGGTAATAGAAACAATAGCTACTGTCAATACTATAATATACCTGGACACGATACTAAAGAATGCAGGAAGCTTGCAATGTTCCTTAAAGAAAATAATATCAGCATCTCCATGAACTCCACAACTAGCCCTATGGTCAACACCACTACAGTAAGCTCCACCTTAACCACACCACCATCGATGTTTGACAGTGGAGCATCTCATCACGTGGCATCCAAGCAAGCTTCATTCCACACCCTGTCAGAATATGGAGGAACTGACGAGATCGTGTTAGGAAATGGTAAAGGACTATCCATCTCTCATATTGGTCACTCTATTCTTCCCACTTCTTCCCTTCCTTTAAACTTACATAATGTTCTATTCGTTCCTCAGTTGCGCAATAATCTTATTTCAGTGGCTAAACTCTGCAAATCTAACAAACTTTATGTTGAATTTTTTCCCTACTTCTTTCTTGTTAATGACCTACGCACGGGCACAATCCTCATGCGGAGAGTGAACATCAATGATATCTACTATGCAACTATCTGCTCACTTCGAAAGCTTCCAAGAAAAAACTCTAATGTCTCCTAAAATAAATCCATCAACTCCTAGCACCACAAGCTCGGTCATCCATCTACAAAATTTTCAAGTTTCTTTGAAATCGTTTAGGACTATCTTGTAATAAAAATTCAGCAATTTCTTTTCATTGTGATTCATGCTCTATAAATAAAAGCCACAAATTACCCTTTGGGCCAAACTCCTTTACAGCCACCAAACCTTTACAACTGGTGTACTCAGATGTATGGGGACCAATACAACTTTCAAATGATGGTTATACCTATTATGTCACCTTTATCGATTTTTATTCACGGTATATCTGGTTATATCCAGTGAAACGCAAGTCTAATGTTTCTACTTTGTTTCCTCAATTTCGTAATCTGGTCGAAAAATACTACAATACCCCTCTTGTATCTTTCTTTACTGATAATGGAGGGGAATTCATCAAACTAGCCTCATATCTCAAACAACATGGAATATCTTACTTTACAACACCTCCACATATCCCCGAGCAAAACGAGATTGCTGAGAGAAGTCATAAACACATAGTCGAAACCGGACTCTCACTTCTCCATCATGCAAATCCGCCTCTCACCTTTTGGACCTATGCTATTCAAACTGTTGTTCACCTAATCAACCGACTTCCTACACCAGTCTTACACTACAAATCACCATATGACAAACTTCACAATACACCTCCCATATATCACAAACTCAAACCTTTCGGTTGTTTTTGTTATCCATGGTTACACCCTTACTCCATGACCAAACTTCATCCAAGATCTACGAAATGCATCTTTCTTGGTTACTCATCCTCAAAATCAGCTTACAAACGTTATGAACCTACTTATTAAAAACTCTATCACTCACGCCATGTAGAATTTATTGAGAATATATTCCCTTACCAAAATGAAACCGAAACTACACTTCCCAAGGCTGATGATTTTTGTTCCTCACCACCCTCACATATCGACACTACTACCACCTCCTTAAATTTCCCATGCTTCCCTATGCAACCCATCACACATACGATACCTATTGATACTCAAACACATGCATCTACATCATCCCCTATGCCCAATGATCCACCCTCACCACAACTTGGTCCATCCCCACCACCCTCACCTCAAATTGCTCCATCTCCGCCCCCCTCGCCATCTACGGCACCTTCTGGTGTCCACTTAAATTTCCCATCTCCTCATCCATCCCCTCCTCCAACTCATCGTCCCCAAAAACCAAATCCCAAATACTTCAATAAAAATCTTGTTAACACCACCACTATTCATCCTATACCACCTACACTTGAACCTTATACTCATAACCAAGCAATTAAAGATCCAAAATGGAGGAGTGCCATGGATTTTGAATTTAATGCACTTCTACAAAATCAAACCTAGGATCTTGTTCCACTGTCATCTCACACACCTATCGACTGTAAATGGGTCTTCCACATCAAGCGCAACCCGGATGGCTCTATATCAAAATAAAAAGATCGCCTCGTTGCAAAAGGCTTTCTCCAATAATACGGGAAAGACTACTTTGACACATTTAGTCCAGTCACTAAACCTGTTACCATTCGTACCATCCTTTCCATAGCTTTATCAAATAATTGGTCCCTGCGTCAACTCGATGTCAACAATGCCTTCCTACATGGCACCCTTCATGAAGCAGTTTTCATGTCTCAACCACCGGGATATGTTCATCCTCAATATCCTACTCACATTTGCAAACTCAAAAAATCTATTTATGGATTAAAACAAGCTCCGAGATCTTGGTATATTGAGCTCACTACCTTTCTTCTCCAATTCGGATTCAAAAAATCTCTAGCCGATGCCTCATTATTCATTTACAAACATCAAAATACTACATGTTATTTTATGTTTTATGTTGATGACATTGTGCTAACAGGAAACAACAACTTCCTCAACCATTTTATCACAGCCTTAAGCACAAAATTTTCTCTTAAAGACCTTGGTATGCATCATCACTTCTTAGGAGTTGAAGTAATTCCCACACCTACATGTGTCTTTCTTTCTCAACATCGTCATATCCAAGATATTCTAAACTAATTTCACATGGAAGGTGCCAAAGATGTTACAAAACCTTTAAGTGCAACTGAACCGTTATCCATCACTGATCAGTCATCCACAGTTGATGCAACTCCCTATCGTAAACTAGTTGGTTCTCTTCAATACTTATCCTTCACTCGTCCCAATATCTCCTTTGCCGTAAACAAACCATCTCAATTCATGCATAACCCTGGCCCAACTCATTGGCAAGCTCTCAAACGTGTCCTATGTTATCTAAAAGGCACAATTCACCATGGACTAGTCCTTAACCGAAATTCCTCACTCACGCTCTCGGCCTTCTCCGATTCTGATTGGGGTGGAGTTCACCGTGTCGGACGATCTACAATAGCCTATTTGCTATATCTAGGTACCAATATTATGTCATGGAAATCCACACGCCAAAAGACAGTCTCTCACTCATCTACAAAAGCATAATATAAAGCCTTAGCCAATGCTTCAGTTGAACTTATTTGGCTCAAAAACTTACTAGATGAGCTCGGTGTACCTACAACCACTACCCCAACACTATTTTGTGACAATACAGGTGCTACGTATCTCTATGCAAATCCAGTCTATCACTCTAGAATGAAGCATGTGGCTCTTGATTATCACTTCGTCAGGGAACAAATTGCCTCTGATCTTCTCAAAGTACAGCATGTTCACTCTCAAGATCAGCTAGCAGATATGTTAAAGCCTCTTACTCGAGCACCATTCTTGAAAAACAGATCCAAGATTGGTGTCTCCGATGGATCCTCCATCTTGTGAGGGCGTATCAAGGATATAGAGCCCAATACAGAATCATAGCAACCCAAATGAATCACAATAGCCCACAACTATACAACACGTTTACAATTCCATGTATTCAATTTATATATTCAAATGTATAGTCAAATCGATCCTATAATATCTCCTATATGTGCTCCTGTAGATTCGTTCATCAGAAGCTTGTAATATGCCTATACAAGGCATATAAATCTTGGAATATAATCAAATTCTTCAATCATAATAATCTATTTTTTATACCTTCGACCCGCCAAACACAGTGAGGAAACTCACCTCAAGCCTTATGATAACTGGCATTCGGGTCACGGCCCCGAATTATGAAACAATTTGAAACAGGTTGTTACAGAAATGATTTACCTTTTATCTTATTTGGTCCACGAATCTATATTTCCCGAATTAACCGCACCTTCAGAATGCAAAAAAAAAAAAAAAAACAAAAACAAAAACAAAAAAAAAAACAAACAAACAAACAAAAAAATCTGAATCCCTAATTTGAAAAGTGAAAATCCCAAATATGTATAAAGGCTTTGAAGAAAAAGAGTGATGTGGTTTTTAGACCATACCATGAAAAGAAGATACTTAATCGAAGAAAAAAGCAATGCAATGATTTTGAGATATAGATTGAGGTAGCAAATAGAGTGAACAGTCCAATGAAATCCTAAGATTAAAATCCGGAGCGTCGATGGACTCTTGAGGTAAATCAAAGATCATTATAAAAAACAAAATACAGTACAAACACTACTAGAAAACTAGGGTAACAGCTACGGCACAATCCGTAGCTATTCGGTAGGTATAAGGCGATACCTACGGATTTGCTACGGAAAATGCCCTGTAGCATAAATGCCCGTGGGGAATTTTTACCTACGGACTAGCTACAGAATAGCTACGGATTTTTCCGTAGGTATAATACCTACGGAATAGCTACGGCCAGTAATTGCTACGGAATACCTACGGATTGCCAACGGGTGTATGTTCCTACGGAATAGCTACGGAATCACATGGCTACGGATTACCCACGCAAGTATTTTCCTACGGAATAGCTACAGAACAGTTTAGCTACGGATTACCTACGGAACTCAAGTTTGACTAAAATTGACTTTCTTCCTACGGAATACCTACGGACCTATTTAGCGACGGATTTCCGTAGCTAGTCCGTAGCTAATTTCATTTTATAAAAAAAAAAATTAAAAATTTAAAAATTTCCATTTTTTGTCAAATACCATATCAATTCAATTTGTCCAAAATACACCAAAAAATGTCCCTAATACCAACTTTGACACATTCAATTCCATTGTCTTAAATACCATACAAATGTCTCAAGTACCATACAAATTAAGCATAACAAAACAAGCAAACAATACAAGTGTTTACAAATTCAATTGTTCCAAAATACTTATCAATTGTTCCAAAAATACTTATCAATTGTCCTCGGGTGGATTATCGGGGGACCACGGGGGTTGATTTCCAGACATATTTATCATCCTCATAACCATCTCCATTTGTTCTTTCATTTGTTGTTGTTGTTCCGAAACTTGCGCACGCAACCTATCAACCTAAAAAATGGTGACACAATTCAATACTTAAACAATAATAGCAATGTATTTTAGTTTATTGTAACAATGCATTTTAGTTTATAATTATAGCAATACACTTAACTTTTAAACCATAATAGCAACATATATTTATTTATTATCAATTTAATCAATATTATCAACAAACTACATAACCTTTAACCAGAATAGCAACGTACTTTTGTTTATTATCAATTTAATCAATATTCTCACCAAACTACCTAACTTTTAACCATAATAGCAACATACTTTTGTTTATTATCAATTTAATTAGTATTATCAACATACCTCTTGTTGCGTGCTATCCGACTGGGTGGACGGGGTGGATTGGGAAGATGGAGTCCCTAAAACCAAAAAATGTATATCTGATGCTCCTATCCCATAGATAGCACCCTTCTTCTTTCCTTTTCTTCTAAGTTGGCTTTCCTCCCATACATCTACATCATCCTTACGATTTGAAGGATCTTCACCAAATTTGTTGACCAACCCATGCATATACGCCTCCTACAAATTACAAAAAACAACATGATTGTCATATACAAAAATGAGACAATCAATATACATAAATGATAAAGATAAGTTACTTGTGCTTCTTTGGCCGTCTGCGAGCAATATTCAACATTTTCATGATTTCCCTCAAAATATTTTTTCTTTGACTCGGCAGTGCCATGCGTCTTCACGAAAACATCATACTATGTGGGTGGTTTACCCATCAATTTTTCCTACATAAAAGTCAACGTACAATTGATGTAGTTAGTGTTATAACAAAATAAGAATAATAAAATTTATTATTGTGATACTTACTAATTTCCTACGGTGCTGGTCAAATCCTATACTACCCGCAGTACCCACTAATTCCTGCTGGTGCAGTGTGTCTTGCTGTTGACCCACTAGAATCTGCGGTGTTGCGATTCTGCTGAGCGATTTTTGAATTCTTTTGCCACTTCTCTGTGGACCAATGCTTTGAAAAGAAAAAATATATATAAATACAATAATATAATAAGAAATAAAAAACTTAACAAAAAAATAATAATGTATCATATCCGTTACATCACACAAACATTGCCACACAGTCTCCGATACGCGTTCGGGGCGGTAGTTATGCATCCCATCATAGTAGCTACAAAACTTTGGGGGGAGGGTTTTCCCATCATTTCGTGACATGTTGGCAGATTGTCTCCTAATACCTTTCATCCTATCTCTGTATCTATCCTTGAGGACACACTTGAATGCATCAAATATGTTCTCATTCTCTTGTGAATGCCACCTGTACTTGGTCTGTAAAAAATAAAAAGTAAATTTAAAAATACAAACTAAAAACAAATGAGTATAAGATACAATAACAAGTATTTAATATATTACCCCGAAACGCGAAAACATCTGTATAAGAGCCTCATTTGGAATATCACTGAACTGGGCCCACGGATGAACCGGGCAATAAGATGGTTAAAAACTAATTCTCTCGGGTGGTAATAAATATTTTTGCATTTCACACACGGACATCTAATTTCAAAAACTTCCACCCCTTCCCTAATAATACGTTGGATGTTTGTTGCGTTCGTGTAAGCAAAATCCAAAAACAAATTGACATAATGTGGCCATTGCGGATTAAACACACAAACGACGACTATCAAGTCGCTTCGTGTACATCCATTCTCTATTAGACAACATTTTGATCTAAAACTACATTTCGATTTAAAAATGTTAATTAGAATCCTAACATTTCAATATAATAGTGTAACATCCCATTTAATCTAATATGTATAACTAACGATACATAACATTTCAACAAATGATCAATATCATAATATGCATTTTAAATTAACTAAAAATCCATATATAAACATTTAACTAACATTTTTAACAAATTTAACAAATTAACTTAACATTTTTTATATAACATATATATCATATTTAACAAATCTAAAACCTCAAATTCAACCTATATTTCATATTTAACAAATCTATAACCACACATTCAACAAAGTGCAGGAGGAAGTAATTTTAACAAATCTTAAACACCAAAATCAGCCTAAAACATCACATTCAACAAAAAAATCAACCTAAAACCTCATATTCAACAAAAAAATCAACCTTACCAGCTCACATTCAACAAAATTAAACCTAAAACAAAGTAATTTTTAAAAAGAAACAAAAAAGAAAAAAAAACTAGGGTTTACCTTTGTTGGCTCGGCGACGGGAAAATGCAGCGGGGAAGAAGCACCGGCAATGGCAGTGCCGTCGACGACGGAAAAGTGCAGGAGGAAGGAGCGCCGCCACCAGGGGGAAGAGTTCGTCGGCCACCAGAGAGAGAGAGCTGTTAACGTTTTTTTTTTTGTTCTTGTCTAACAGATAGCTGCGAGAGGGGGAAGACAGAAAAGGCAGGGAGCGTTTTTCATTTAAAAGACACCTACGGCTTAGCTACGGCCAGCAAAAAAAAAATGAAAAATTGTTGCAGCAGGAATCGAACTCGAGTCTCACGCGCATTTAACCAACATTCTTACCAACCGGCCGGGTTTGCCACTTCCTTAATAGTTTAGACTCCAATTGATTTTATTGTGTTACAGGAAAAATAAAGAAAAACGGAGTCGGGTAAGAATCGAACTCGAGTATCACGCGCATTTAACCAACATTCTTACCAACCGGCCGGGTATGCCACTTCCTTAATAGTTTAGACTCCAATTGATTTTATTTTGTTTCTCGAAAAATAAAGAAAAATGGGATCGGGTAAGAATCGAACTCGTGTCTCCTGCATAACTAACCAACACACTTACCATCCGATCGGGCATGCCACATCCTTGCTGAGTAAGTCTCCTATTAATTTTATACACTTACTTTTTTCGATTATTATTATGATTATTAACATTATTATTATTATTATTATTATTATTATTATTATCATTATTATTATTATTTTTTTCAATATTCAAGTCTTAAAACTTTTTTTTATGATCGTTTTGTTTTTAATCACAATTAAAAATTATACTAATAGTCCTAATAATAATAATATTCACAAACAATTACAAATGTGTTTAACACACAAACAAACAATTAAAAATAATATACGTTTAATGTATAAATTAAATAATGAAAAAATATGATAATTATGGGAAATATGTATATTTGTATAAGTATGTATGTGTGTGCTTATGTATATGTATGTGTGTGTGTATATGTATGTGTGTGTATATGTATATGTAAGCATTACAACGTTAAACAATGAAACGGGTAATGGTGGTGGTGGTGGTGGTGGTAGTGGTGGTGACGATGGTGATGATGATGGCGATGATGATGATGATGATGATGATGGTGGTGGTGATGGTGATGGTAATGGTGATGATGATGATGATGATGATGATGATGGTGATGATGGTGGTGATGGTGATGGTGATGGTGATGATGATGGTGATGGTGATGGTGATGGTGATGATGATGATGATCATCATCATCATCATCATCATCATCATGTAGGTATACGTGTTTGTGAGATGTATGTGAACGTATTCATAAGCATTATAGTGTTAAACCACTAAACGAGGAATGGATCCCGTATGTGCACACGACTTTATGAATGATATTAATAGCTATAAATTGGTGAAAATATAGATAATCATGTATAGTAGAGGTGTGAAAAAAACGGAGCGAAAAAAACGACGTTTGGTGCCCGAAAAATCGAAAATAAGAAAAATTCGTAGCTAATCCGTAGGTAATTAGCTACGGATCAGCTACGGAATTCTAACGGAAAGCATATTCCGTAGCTGATCCGTAGGTAATTTACCTACAGATCAGCTACGGAATATGCTTTCCGTTAGAATTCCGTAGCTGATCCGTAGCTAATTACCTACGGATTAGCTACGGATTTTTCTTATTTTCGATTTTTCGGGCACCAAACGTCGTTTTTTTCGCTCCGTTTTTTTCACACCTCTACTATACATGATTATCTATATTTTCACCAATTTATAGCTATTAATATCATTCATAAAGCCGTGTGCACATACGGGATCCATTCCTCGTTTAGTGGTTTAACATTATAATGCTTATGAATACGTTCACATACATCTCAAAACACGTATACCTACACATATACACGTACACATATACCAAAACTCATTCATGTATATAAATATACATATACAAACATAATCCATCACAAGTTGGTGAAAAGTATAGACATTACAATGTTAAAATGTGAAACGAGTACTTGATCGCGAAGGGGCACACGACTTTATAAACGATATTAATATCTATAAATTGGTGAAAATATAGATAATCATGTATAGTAGAGGTCTGAAAAAAACGGAACGAAAAAAAACGAAGTTTGGTGCCCGAAAAATCAAAAATAATAAACATCTATAGCTAATCCGTAGCTAATTAGCTACGGAATAGCTACGGAATTTTCTTATTTTTGATTTTTCGGGCACCAATCTTTGTTTTTTTCGCTCCGTTTTTTTCAGACCTCTATTATACATGATTATCTATATTTTCACCAACTTATAGCAATTAATATCATTTATAAAGTTGTGTGCACATACGGGATCCATTACTCGTTTAGTGGTTTAACACTATAATGTTTATGATAACGTTCACATACATCTCACAAACACGTATACATACACATATACACGTACACTTATACCACAACTCATTCATGAATATAAATATACATATACAAACATAATCCATCACAAGTTGGTGAAAAGTATATGCATTACCATGTTAAATTGTGAAACGAGTACTTGATCCCGAATGGGCACACGACTTTATGAACGATATGAATAGCTATAAGTTGGTGAAAATATATTTAATCATGTATGGTAGAGGTGTGAAAAAAACAAAACGAAAAAAACGATGTTTGGTGCCCGAAAAATCGAAAATAAGAAAAATCCGTAGCTAATTAGCTACGGATTACCTACGGAATTCTAACGGAAAGCATATTCCGTAGCTAATTAGTATCAGTAGGTATTCCGTAGTCATTCCGTAGCTAATTAGCTACGGATTAGCATCTGTAGCTATTCCGTAGCTAATTAGCTACGGAATAGCTACGGAGTAGCATCCGTAGCTATTCCGTAGCTATTCCGTAGCTAGTCCGTTACTAGATTAAGGCATCCCATTCTGTAGCCGATCCGTAGCGATTCCGTAGCTAATTAGCTACGGACGTTTTCCGTAGCTATTTTCCGTAGGAAAACGCCATGTTTTCTAGTAGTGAAAGCACAAACAAACATAACCTAATCGAAACAAACAACCAAAATTAAAGCGGGAGTACTAACTAAAATCGGACCCACAATCGAACAGCAGATTGAAGGCGCCAAATTGGAGAGTCGGAATGGAACGACAACCAACGTCGTCGTCCTATGAAACATCTGACCGTGGCCTTCAAACAGATGCAAAAACTAAAGAGATACCAACGCATCGACGGTAAATTGAAGCCACCGATTTTTGAAAAATTACTCAAAATTGAAAGATTAAATGGAGAAGATGACTTAGGCAATGAAGACACGTGTCATCAAAAGAGAGAGATGGAGAAGATGACTCAGCTCCAATGAAGCGGAAGGTGACCACAAAGGGACAAAAACAACTATCATCCATCATAAAACCAAAACATAAAACCACTTACAAAACAAGGAACAGTTGTTACTATTCCTAAGCACGATATAATTTTAATATGTATATTAATGTATATTAAACCCAACTCAACCCATTTAACAAAATTGGTTAGACGCGAGTTTACCTATTTACCTTAAACGGTTTGAAAGTCTCAACCTAACCCATTAATTTTGGGTTGGGTTCAACACAGATTGATGTATTGGACCGTTTCTTGCCTACTCTACTTCCACTTACTTTATTCTAAGTCATAGAAAAGTCCTTGCATATAAAAAATTGTACTTTCAAAAAATAAAATCTTGATGGCAATCCAATAAGTTTTTACACAACCTTCAAATCATATCTTATTGTATATTGAGAATAGCATAGAAAACATATAATAATATATTTATTTGTGTCTTGCTGCAACAACCACTAAAGTTTGCGTAGAATCAATTGAGCACCATACTGAGGTTGTAGAGTGAGGATAGTATGTGGAGCATGTGCGTACAATGGAGAAATCTCAAAGGAGAAACCTCTTAAAATCATAACAAGTGCTAATTTTGCTTCCAGCATAGCAAAATTTTGGCCGATACATATACGTGGACCCCCTCCGAAAGGGAAGTATGATGCTTGTTCCTTAGTTGCCTTTGACACACCTTCTGCAAATCTCTCTGGCTTGAACTCTTTCACATCATCACCCCACATTTCATTGTCATAATGTAAAAGCATCATATGCAATTGGAGGAATGATCCGGCTGGTAAGGTTATGTTTCCTAATGTAGTTTCTTCATGAATCATCCGTCCCAATCCTATACCAGCCGGATATAACCTAAGTACTTCGTGCAAGATCATATTAATCTGCAAAATAAATAATCACTACATAACTCTTATCAAGTACAATAATAAAAAAATGCGAGGTGGAATGTGATCATGTTTTCGTTTATTTGTTGCATTAAAAAATATATTGATTGGCCCAAGCACATTTTTAAACTCGAGATTTAGTTTGGTATAAAATACATCACCTAGTTCATTATGCATTTATCTAATAAATAAACGGTTTGGTAAATCCAATTAGAAGAAGAAAAAAACTTACAACTTTTACACGACTTAATCCGTCAATATCTGGTTTTCTGTCTCCAAACACCTTTAAAACTTCATCTCTAGCACGATCTTGCCAATTTGTGTGTTGGGCTAACAAAATCATTGTCCAAGCGAGCAAATTTGCAGTAGTTTCTTGCCCGGCAAAATAGAAAAGTTTGCATTCTTGAATGACTTCTTCCGTAGTAAGTCCAAAATTGGTGTTCCCTTTTTGTTTGATTTCTTTGTAATTGGAATCCAGTAATATGCCCAATAAATCGTCGCTGCTACTTTCCTCGGCTTTCATTGTTGTCACTCGTTTATTAATAATTTTGTTTACTGTAGCCCTCACATCTCGGTCAATCTCCTTCATCCTTCTATTACTCTTTGTAGGCAAAAATCTACAAAATTATGTCAAAAAGCATTACTTTAGTTTTCTTTTTCTTTTTCTTTTTTTTTTGGAAAAAATAGGAAACTAAAAACCAAAATTTGTTAAAGGAAAAGCTTCTCACCGGGGAACCTGGAATATACAAGGATTGTATAGCCTTGATAACTAATTCTGCTTGTTCTTTTTGAAGTTCAAATATCTTTCTTCCTTCCTGATAGCTGCTACCAAAATGCTGTACGTGAAATTACATCACTAGTAAAGGTTTCGAGATGAGGGTACACATCAACTTCACAGGATCTTTCTTTGGTTAATTCTTCCCATTTGTTGATCATCTCACTACAACTAATGTAAAAAGCGGGTAACATACTCTGCAAAAAGGAACGCTAATTGAATCAGTGGTTCATTAATTTCAGTCACATTTTGCCACTTTTGGTCTGGTAATTTAAAAAGCAGATGAACCTTAAGCTTTTCCACATGGAATGCGGGATTGATAATCTTTCTATGTTTTGCCCATTGATCATCCTCAGCATCTACTATCCCTCTAGCTAGCAATTTTATTAATGGATTTCCTCCTTTCAGCTTTTGAAACTGAGAATAATTGTTTAGAACCTCTCGTATTAGTGCAGGTTCTGTTATGTGCATCATAGGTCGTGGGCCCATCCATGTATAGAAGTTCTTTCCTTTACCTGTATACAAATATAGATTGTTTGAAAGATCAGATTCCACCTTTTTGCACATAATATAGATCGTAGCCTTTATATTCAAACTCATGGACAATTTAAATGCAAGGTACCATATAAAATCTATAGTTATGCTCATTCTACTTTGGATTTTGAAATAGCATCAGCATATAAAATTTGTCCATTTCAGTTGGAAAGACATGCTAACAGATTCCATTCGGTCAAGATCTACTATTTACCAAAAAAAATAAAAAAGTAACTTTCAGTTAAAAACTTTTCTAAATATTTCCTTCGAAAAACTCAAAAAATAAGATCTGCTATCAATGCTGATATGTATACATTACATACCATAAGTCTTTGCAGAGTTATAAAGAAATGGCATGATACGTGGGACGATATCATCAGTGAGATTTATGGGTTTCAATTTGGCATCTGCAGTCATCTGCACCATCTCTTTCATGTCTCCATATAGAAATTTGTAGGGATTTCCGTTTAAGCCTTGTTCTCTGAGGAACTTGTCCATCTTCTTCGGTTTCAACCAGACCCACTTGAAAAATCTCCATCCGTATATCATCACTATCACTCCAACAACACATACCACTGTGTTGATCATACTAAAACTTAGCTCCATTTCTAAAGGAAGTAGGGTGCTTTTCTTTTCTCTAGCTATGAAGGTACATACTCTTTTTATAGGTTCAAGATCTGATACTAAGTGATAACAGGTAAGTCAAAGAGAAATTGTAATTGATTTTGACTTTTGGGTTGTTGGTGACGAATGAAGGGATTTCATTTATCGATGGATAATGTTCAATCATGTCCCTTGTGTTTTAGTTATTATGATTATGGTCCATATGTTATTGCTTTTCGGTAGTCTCCCGTATAATATGTAATTGAAAATGCTATGTATTATTGACTTACATTTTTACAATTAAATCAATTACATCACTCATTTTTAGCTTGATCAATTTGTATATTTCATCATCTTCTCGTGGTTTTTTTAGTTCTGCTGTCAATTTCATGTATTTTTTTATGGGACATAAGGACCTAAATTAAGTTAATGATAAGTTCAAGTACCAATGTTGTATTTTACATTTAATACTAGTATACTAGAGATGGAGATCTCGCCCTATCCGTTGGCTATCGAGATTCACGTCCGACTTGCTACACAAGATAGACTTGCTGAGCAAGTTATATTTTTCATTTTCTTTCCAAAAATTGTTTCATTCCAAATGCTATATTCCGAACAAGATCTTCAAATTCTGAATTTTGTTTATCCAATTTTTTTTAGAAATATATTCCTTTATGATCAAAATGTCTATTTCTAAATGTTTAATATCACTGTTTTTTAATAAAATGTCTTATTTTATAGTATATAGTTCACTTTTACTAAATTTGTTTAACTGTTGATAGATTTAAATAAAAAAAATGATTTTTTTCTCTAAATTTCGAAATTGATTTTCGGATTTCGGATTTGTTCTTGAAATTTCGGAGTTTTTTTTTTCTTTTCTTTTTCGGAAATCCAAAATTTTTGTTCGAAATGTTGGTCCGAAATCCAGAATGTCGTTTTGGGGTCGGTCAAAAAAATGTTTTTTCATTGTCCGGAATGCCCATTTCGAACAAAATGATTATTTTGTTAAAAAATAAATAAATAAATTGGGGCTATTTTGTTCAAATAACCATTAAAAAGTGGTTGTATTACTCAATTTCCCTTTAGTTTTTGGTATTTACGAGACAACCAACAAGTCCGGAAAATTGGATTCAAGTCCGACCCGACCATTAATAAATGGGTTAGAGATTTAGTGAACCTTCTTTCTAATACAATTCTATAATGTATATTTAGAAATAATATTTTATTTTTATTTATAAAGTAAAAACTGACACTTGATAATGAAGATATTGAGACTTTACAGGTTACTTATTATTTCTTTTATTTAATTTTTTGTGTTTTTTATACGGTACCATCTTAGAAATCGTAGTCCAAAAATATTGAACTCATGTCCGAAAGGTGAAGAAAATGTCCAAAATAGTATGTTATTTTGTATTCTAAACCTTAGAAAGTTACTTATTATTCATTAGTGACCGTCTGATAACTTAGAAAATTGGTACATGGTGTTGTTCGTTACCTTTAAACTGCCTTTCGACTATTCTAAAATGATATACCTTATTCCGAAATGCAAAGAATATTCCAGACCAAAATACACACAACATTCTAGAACAAACTCTAGAATGATTTCCTAGCCAACATCTTTTTTAAAATTAACCAACTTAGTGTCTCGATATTTTGCATGATGGTTCGTTCAAAGCTTCTCTTACTAAATCGAGCAAAACTGTTATGGGTGGCGATATTCTTGGTAAGTTACAACACCGAACGTCATGTGAGGCTCTTTTTCGACGGTCATACTTTGGTAGGTGGCTGAATATTCCTGTCAACATGGAAGGGGGGCATCTGCTATGTATTATATGTTTTGCGAAGAAGTTGTTACAAACACACGATACAAAGTGAATGAAATGTGTTTTTAAGATCAGTGAGTGTGAATTCACCTTTGGGAGAAGGAAAATTTTCTAACTACAAGGTTCTTATTTGGTGATTATTTATTGGTTGTAGAGTTCGATTAAGAGTTCTGGTTATAATTGTTTCATATGGTTAAAGGAAAACAACTTGATATGGTTGGAATATATAAAGAGTGTATTTAATAAAACCATGTATGAGTTATCAGACAAGGATGTGTTCCTGGTGTGTATGTTGTACTTGTTATACAAATGGTTTGACGGTCGGTTGTCTCGCCAACCCGTGAATGTTTAGTTCTTTAGCCTGGTATCCAACTTTGAGGACTCCAACATGTATAATGTCGTTTACCATTTATAGTTACAATTTAATTGTCATTTCTAATTGTTTTGATGTAAATAATGGTTTTAATTTGGAGACATAGGTCCCAATATAATAGTATAGTTTGGGAACATTGTACAATTAGCTGAAGATGGTATTTATAAGAGTTTATAAACTTATTCATCCTATCAAAGTAAAGAAAGATAAACCTCAAAAATTGACATACAACATAACGAGTTTTATATACGCTTTCAAGGTAATATACATTATTTAGATTTGATCTTTCTAACTTTTTATATTTGCTAATATCGTGATACATTAATTTTATATATTTGGATTTTGAAGACTTTTCTGATTAGGTATAATGTCCCAAATTTCAAACGAAAAAGCTCATAGTATCAAAAAATAGTAAGAAAAAAAGTGCGGAATCTCCATAAATATAAATCTCAGATGCAATACAATCAACCCGCGCCCTTCCCCTTGCTTCCAGAACAACCTGAAACATTTTAAACTTAAACAGCGACTACATAGCTTAGCGAGTTCCCCAAGATACCACATACTCATGTGAATGATATGATCCAACAATATTCGTACACCTACTTATGTTGCTACAGTCCAACTGTAGTCTTCTGTGTTATGATCCAACCATAGTCTTTCATAAAACTATTATGGTCCAATCATACTTTTTCATACAAATGCTATGATCCAACCATAGTCTTTCATGAAAATTCGCAAACACAATCTAATATACCATGACACCTAGTGTCATATATAGTATAATGAGAAGACTCACCTAAATCAAAAGTCGAATATCAAACACCCGTAGACTCATAACGACAACTACACGAATCACCTAAACCAAAAGAGACATAAACCTCAGTCTATAGTTCACAACCTCCAATCATGACCAAAATTCAAAATGGTCAAAAAGTCAACAGTCAACATTCAAATTCAACGGTCAAGGTCAACGACCACCATTTCGCGACCAGCTCCATAGTCGCGTCGTGGTAACTAAAAGCCAAAACATTCACGGATGGAACTCGTGACCAACATCACGACCTACAACCTCTCGTGCCACGACGAGTGTCCAAAACTGCTTAATCCATTAATCTTTTAATCCTCAAATCTAGAGCTCAAAAACTCACACACACACACACAAACACACACACATACATACACACACACACACGTATATATATATATATATATATATATATATATATATATATATATATATATATATAGTAATGTCATGCACGTATATAGTTTCTAACTTTATCCATTCCCCCATGCTAAAAAATCCTAAATCTAAAACCCTAACTTCTCTAAGGGGCTAAAATGACTCAAAGTTCATGCATGGTTGGAAAAGAGTATCAAGCTCTAAGCTTTATGGGACCAACAGTTTTGGAAACCACCCAAAGCTTAAGAAATGATCTTGGAATTGCTCAAACTCCAAGAACTATCATCAAATGATCAAGAAATGACTTTTAAGAAAGCATACACAATTAAATAATATAAAGGTTTGAACTTTATACCTTTTAAATGCATAGAAGATGCTTAGAAACTAAGATCTCAGTAGCAACAAATCCAACAAACAATGGAATGTCCACCTTCATTTTCCTAAGAACCACCAAGACTCTAAAATGGTACAAACACATAAGGGTTTCACTCTCAAGGCTTGGGTTTATGATTTTGAGAAAAGGAGATTGCAAAGGTATGAACCCTAGAGTGTTAGCATCATTATATATGGCCCAAAGCCTGTGATTTAGGGTTTTGTACCCAGCCACCACCACGCCACTACTAAATGATGTGGTCTTGTCACGGTAGATTTCCATCACTGTGTTGCGACTAAACAATAACCATAAACCCCTAAAACTTATTTAATAAACCTAAAAGTATCACGTATCTAAATCTAGATGTCACATTAGCCATGTATTTGTACCGAAAATCAAATGTAATTTCTCACGCCATTGCATATTCAAAGCTTAAATTGTAACAAAGGAGTAAATACGAACCAATCGTTGATGTTCAACGGGTATGATTATTTGTATAACATTTTCATTTTCCTCTCTCTCTCTCTCTCTCTCTCTCTATATATATATATATATATATATATATATATATATATATATATATATATTGTGACAACGGTTAGATCTGGAGACTTATCATCTGATCTGGAATTTTAAATACTGCAATTTTTAGTGGGCCAATTTTTTTCTAGAGCTTATTTTTTGTTTTTTAGTTGGGCTTGGCCCTTTAGATATTTAGGTCAAATATTGTCGTTTATATACTTCTGAACGGCCGTAACTGTAACATTGTAGCAGGAAAGCGTGTGTAGAATAAAATCTCTCTTTGGTTCGACAATGGATACAACCTATCATAAGATAGTGTGAACCACTTGAAATCCCTGTGTTCTGTGTGCTTTGATTTCGTTTATGATTTCTCATATTTCTCAGATCTGTTTTATTTATCGTTTCTTCAAACCTAACAAATGGTATCAGAGCTATGGATGAAGACGGGAAGGTGAAGAACGATAAATTTGAAGGCCATGATTTTGGAATTTGGAAGATGCAGATTGAGGATTACTTATATTAGAAGAAATTACATTTACCGTTATCTGAATAGAAACATAAGAAAATGGATCTAGTAGAAACATCAATTATCAAGTGCAGAGTAAAGTTCTATATGTATCGTGTATCAAGTGCAGAGTTAACTCAGTGCTAGTGTTGGTGGCTGGTTTGGCGAAGGGAAAAGCGAGGGTAGCGACCGGTTTGAAGACGGTGATGAGGATGTGAAAACGAAAGGCATCAGGTGGGTTTAGTGGGTTGAAACTGGAGGTTATGCGGTTTACGATTTTATGCAGTCGACATTGGGAAAGCTGCGACGGGGGGTGATGTGGGTGGCGGTTCACGGTGCTTGGAATGCAACGATGGAGGAGGAAAAGATGGTGTTAGGTAGTGAAAAAAAAAGTTGTA